AGAACTCCTTGATGTCGTTATATTGCAAGAGACCATTTGTGGCAAATTTATCAAATGCTACTTCGTACTCTGCAAAAATAATAATAATAAAGAATGTCTCGAAAAAAATTGATTACTTGCTTTAGAAAACGAAAAAAACAACATTTGATCGTGTCTAAAAATTTAAAATCGCTAAATTGGAACATCTGATAACGATGTAGAACTAAAATTCTAATAAATACTAGTTTAACTGACAATTAATAATATGGCCAACGAATTTAACTTATCGAGGACCAGACTGCCGCTCGATTTAGGCCAAGCATATTTAGAATCTGCTTTACTGATAACAAATATAACAAGACCAAAACTAGGAGATTTTTCCACAATCTTTCAAAAGCGCTTTTCCCAGTTTTACCTCTCAACAAACACTGTCTGCTGAAAAAGAACGAAATGTTTTACCAAAAGAGCACATCCCAGTATAACAGACTCACTATTAAGTCGCTCGACATATTCCATCAGTTCGTTAAACTCCAGTGCAGTTGTTGGTTCTTTTATACCGTATCGCTTTTGAATCCTGAAGAGAAGTTCCTGGTAACCTTTAATAAACTTGCTGAAAGACAAGGTCCGTTTCAAGGCCTTTAGGGCAGAAAAACCCAATTAGTAGAATGTAAAGGTATTTATGGAATGGAAGCTGTTTTTGCTTTTCTCTCCGAGAAAGTAATGAAATATAAGAACTGAGATACTCGTCAGAACTCTCCAGGATGTATTTTTTGGTAAAAGATGTTCATCGTGACATATAGACCGTGGGAGCTTAATAAGAGGTTTCCACCCTGAAAAAGAAATCACGAATAAAAACCATTTGGCAACGTTTTTACTTATAATTACCTTTGCTTTTGATTTTTCAAGCATTCGACGAACAAACCAGCCTCTGAAATACCTAAAGACGGCAAGCAAAGTATCGCAATGAAAAAAAAACGTAGTTTGAAGGTGGAGCAAAAGGAGAACACACATAGTTCCTTAACCTTTCGAACTAAATGGGAAACACAAAGATACGTAACCTTTGAATGGTGACAGCAGCAGCTTTCTTTTGGGCTTTAGTTGGACCCTCAGGTGTTGGATGGAACACGCTTGGAAAAAAGAACAACAGACAACTTAATAAAGTCAGTTGAAATCAACTTCCATGGTTTATTATCACGCTCACTGAAAGGTAGGGTGTGGCTCTATACATAATCATTAGAAAAGAAAGAAATAACATTACTTACTCAAAAATGAGTTGATGAGCCTGCACTTGTTTTATTTGTTGCCCATGCTTGTCAGCTTCTCTGTTTTGCCTGCAAAATAATTAAAATGCACAATATACCAAGTGAGCTGAGTTGTTCTCAGGAACAGAGTCGGGTAACGTTATCCTAATTAGTAGACGAGCGGTCGCTAATATACGCTCCTTACTGCAGAGAGAGGTATTGTGGGACAACTAGGCCGGAATGCGGCGACCTGCTAACTCTAACCCTAAACCTGACCCAAACACAAGATACAAAAGTAAGTGTGACTCACATAAACATGGCATGTTGATTCTTCTGTTTTCTGGCCTCTTCCCTCTTTTTCAGATCCTGTTTGTACTTTCGAGCCCATTCCAGGTCACGTGAACTTGGTTTATATTCTTGTATTTTCTGCTCCATTACCTTTTTCCGGGCAAGAAATCCGCGAAAGTTACTGCAAATTTAAAACATTTACAATTTAACACCAACCTGTCTGGTATACACCGTCATATATCACACGAGGGAATGTTCATCTTTAACTTGTGACTACAACCACCCCTTTCCTTTCTAGGAATGAATTTACACTCGCTGACGAATAACAGAGATCCTTCGTTTGTCATTTCTCAGAAAATAATTCGAACATGAAATTACTCTGAGCTAATCCTCGTCGGTAAATTTATATGAAAAGTTTTGGTAAATATAAGTTTCCAAAAGAAATTTTAAAGAGTTACTGCTTCATATGGAGCTGCTGTTATCATCACACAAATCTGTTGACCAACCTTTGTAGCATAACCGCTGCCTTTCTCTGCCTCTCAATGTCTGCTACTCTCAGCTGTTTTGCATACTGTCTTCCGATGAAACCTCGGAATATCCTGTGGTATAGAGAAAAGACACGTGCAATGTTTTATAATAATGAGGAAAGTTCAATTATACGGCTAAACTGAAGGAAAAAAGGCGCAGGATCGGAGGGAAGAATTTAAGGGAGGCCACAACTTCACTAAGTCATAATAGTTGAATAGTCAAACAAAACAAAAACAATACAAAACTGCTAGAAACTCTTATAGCTGAAGTTATATACTTGCTGCTTGGGAGAAAGAAATAGATCACCTCTTAAGAATTAAAACATATGAAAGGAGTTTAGGTTTAAAGATTAACGTTTCAGATCTCGTTTAATGCAACACTAACCGCTGAATATTAACGGCGGCCCAGACTTCTCTTTGCCTTATGTAGTCGTCCATTAGCAAGTACTGTGATGAAAAATTTACAAAACGCAGTTAATCAAAACTATAAAAAAATTATCGAACGTGATTGGCTAGTAACGGCTTAACTTGACCAGTAAGTGGATGGCGCATGAGTCATGAATGTCACTGGACAGGTCACTGGACAGTGCAGTAAGACAGCTTATACGTCATACAATTATAATTAGATAATATTCGTCATTTGCGCGCGTTCCAATGTAAACTTCTGTGTTCATTTCTCGTGGATAAAAGTTAACTACTACGTTTCACTATGGCGAAGAGCTAACGCTCGACACGTCAAATTTAAAACCTTTTTATATTATGAACTAACTTGATAAAACCAAATTATCTTGTTATTTTCATGAATTTGTCAAACAGAAGGGAACTTTGTTTCTGTAATTCTGTTATGGTTTGGACCAATTAGTGGCCGGATTTTGCCTTGTCCAGCACTGTTCATAATTAAACTCCCGCTTCACGATCATTCCATTCTGTTAATCACTGGTCTGATTACAGAGTGAATTGGACTCAATTTGGACCAATCACAATTCTCGATTAGACGACTTTCTAGGATGAACGACACACAATCACTGAAACATTTTTCTCGAATTGGCTGAAACATCATGACCGTAACAAAATTGGCTTTCTAAGGGTATTAAAAAAAAGCAACAGTGTTACTCTGCAATGGTACTGTCATAGATAGCAGACTTACCTCTTCATCCCAACAAAAGTGTTTAAAGTCCCGCACCGAAAAGTTGGAAGTGTTTATTGCACCATGTGCACTGCACGTGCTACGGGCAGAGGATGGTCTGGACGAGCGACTGGCTGTGGGGATAGGGATCACCTTACGTGAAGTCGAGGCCGGTGAAGACGAACGGGCTTGTGGAGATGAAAGAGCTGGTGACGAGGGACGTAATGTGTCTAGAGGGAACAAAAGGTACGGGGTTGGGGTATTCAGTAATTGTTTGCTTAATAATCGAAATATCCCTAATTTGTTATCAGGAATGGATAACAAAGTCTTAAGTAAATTTAGAACCTTTACTTTTCGTGGTAACGCTGCTATGACCGCTGTCCAAGCTGATAGTGGACGGTGATGACAACTCCTGTGGTTCCCAGGTCGGTTTTTCTTGTTGTTTGGGTTCATCTGCGGCACCAAAATGTCGGCCTTTAACCATGAGGGAGTTGTCTTTAGGAATTCGTACATCAGTACGACGAGACTTCAGATCATCGCTAAAATAACGAGAAAAAAATATATTAAGAGAAACCCCTTGGCTCAGAGAAGTATGTTGAAGAAGCATCATGCCATTCACCTAGATCGCAAGTGGAGTCAATTTTGAATATTTCGAATATAAACTGAATGAAAGGCTGACAAAATCAAATGCCTGGGGTTGTGCATTGGTGATTATGAGAAAATCAAGAAGCGTGTACTCCTGATCGCGCTGGTGATGCGATACCAACTACTTGCGTAAGTTACGTGCGTATGTGAGTGAATTGTACGTAAGTGAGATCACGAACACAAGCGTTTAGCATTATCATTCCACAGCTAAAACACGAGCTGTTACTCGTACCTAATCAGTCCTGCTTGGCTCTTAAATGTCTCGCGGTAAAGTCCGTGTTCTCCTTGTAAATACCAGTTTACTGTTGACGGGTTTTCACATTCGCCTGTTAGAAGGACCCAGCATTAAAAACTCAGTTAAAGTTTTTTAGTGCTAAGGATAAATTCATGCATTCAAAGGATCTTGGTTTAGCCCTTAACTTACCGAGCCTGGGGCCCACAGGCTGACAGAAAGAAAGGTACTCTAGATTGTAGGCGTAATCCATGTTATCGGATTCGGTGCCCGCCGGACCCAAAATAAGCTTTCCTCCCTGTGGCCCTGATATGCAATCACTGCAAGGATGTAAAAAAAGGTGTTAAAATATCAGCTCATCGTGAGACAAAAAAAATTTTTTTCGCAGAAATCATCGAGGGTAAAACATTCTTACATGTTTCTTCTATCTGCGTCACCAAGATGTCTGACTACCACAAGGGAGGCCAGAGTTCGTTTGTCCAATGAGCGGCTACCGGTGGGCATTGTCACCTGATTGGTCGGCTGTTGAAGTTTCTTTCTCGAACTGCGCGGAGATGTCGGTCCCCTACCGAATAACAAGTCAGAGTCATCGAGGGGTTATTAAGCAAACTATATCATGGAATGAAAAAAAGATGCTGTTGAGACTAGTAGTTGTTGAATATTTGCGCTTACTTAAGCTTCTTGAGGTATGTTCTGTTACCAAATCCATCATCGGTCCATCTACAAAGAAGAAAGCGACAGAAGATCACAAGTTTATTGTGTTTTGTTCCGAACATCCTGCCTCAGGTAATAACTAAAAGATCTGTACCATTTTCCAACGTAAATCTCACTTTCGTGCCGCACTTGAGCACAATGGACCTTAAGAAGACTGTTAATAAATGTTTATACGAAATCCTGAAAAATTGTTGGAACTTCATGAACTAACACCGCCGAAAGTTAAATGTTTCGATACAATATATGTCCTCGAATATGCAAAAACTCCCCGCATAGTTCAAACTGTAGATCACACAAGCCGGTAACTATTTCCTGATCAGTTCAACAAAAGTGTCTCTCACAAAAATTGACTAGAAAGGTTCAAGTATTTTAATCCAACCAGCCATCGAGTATAAGGAGAAAATGTATACAAGCTAATCAACTGCACATTCTCTTTAAAGACGAAACATATGGGTACTGAGAGCACCTCAGAGAATTTCGATTTTGATCCCGTGATAAAGGCTGTCAGTAAGACTTACTGATATCTGATAGAATCCGGTACGACTGGTCCTGAAGTCCTGTAGCTCTTTATCGTTATTGATTCTGGAGACTTTTCCTGAGGGAAGTGTACAGTGTAATCTCTTGGGGTCCTCTCGGGAATCAGCTCCGGTTCCTTATATTTGAGTTCAATGGATCTGTTATCTGATGTGTCCGACGCCGGTCTGTTAAAAGGCAAAAGCACCATGGTGAAATGGCAATAATGGAAAGTTCATGTTAAGTACCACGCAGAAATGAAATTGTGATTCATGTGGGCGGTGAATCATTCCTCCAAATGGATACAACAATCAACTAGCTGTTAACTGTTTAATTGCATAAAACCTCGGGATATAGCGTTGAGCGCCAGCAACTGACGAAACCAAAGAAAGAGCCGACCCTTTACTTACTGTAAAAAATTCGCTGCAACGAAAATGAAATTCACAGAGTTACTGGACAGAACACAATGTAAAAAGTTGAGTTACTCTGATGAGAGACAATGGCTAAATATGACTGTGAAGTATTTGTGACCTTAATGTTGGTTAGTTGTAACATGCACTAAACACTCGAGTTCAGGGCACGTACGTAGTTATGTCCATGAAAACACTGGCGATAATTGGTTGCCACCACACAGGGTTTCTAATCTCCAACGACTTTTTTGCTTTTTTACATACAGATGTAAGACGCTATTTCGTTCAAACCCATAGAATGTCGCTTCACAAACAATACACAAAAAATGAACTGCGCCTATCCTTCGATCAAACACTTTACCTCTGAAGTTCACGATGGAGTTTTTCGGAATGTGAGCTTGCAATACTCGGCAAAAATAAACCTTTCCTTGCTTCAGTTGAACAAGACCACGACGGTAGAGTAACGCTGTAAAAATCACGGCAAACATATCACACATGCCAAACAATCCGATTGGGAAAAACACCGTAACGAGCTAGCACGTAGTTTACCTGGTCGATGTATCACAAATATCGAATCTCTGACAAGGACAGGATACAGGTCGCTTATTATGAACTGTACACGGCTCAACCCACGGCAATTTATAAACAGATAAAGTGTTCAGTGATACTGGTATGTTTTCCATCTTAGGAGTAGGATAGGTTTGATAATTAGAATCTTGGGAAAGCGTGAAAAAGTCATATAATGAAAAAATTAATTCATACATATGCTTGTGTAAACAAAGTGTCATTCGCTAAATTCCTGAGGTTCGCTTTTCTATACAGTTATCGAATTAAGATTATTCTGTAAAGGAAACGTTATCATTGATCTGATATCTCAAATGACTTTCGCTCCAAATCAATTGTCAGGACATCACTAATATTGCACCCCCTTTCCGTTTTCGAGATAATTTCGTCGAACAAAGTAAAACTAATATTGTGTCCGCAGAACATGTTCTATTCTCGCAGCCCGCCTTGTGATTGGCTGGTCTTAACTGTTATTTACCGATGAAGAGACATTTTACTCTTCTGTCGTGTTTAACTCATGCCGTAAATAAAAAGAGAGAGCGGTTTGGGTCGGGTCGCGTACTTATACCCGACTATGTTACTACGCTATTTCCTTCCGTTTTACCAATTGACCGGCTCGAACAGGCAATCGCCACCATAAAACATGCGCCCTCTCGGTAAAAAGAGTAAAATGTGTGTCCATAATTTTTATAAAATTTTCACCAATACTTTAACACACAAAGGAACAAACCTCACCCCAATGAGGTGAACGAATTCTCCGGAGATAATGTCTCCTGTTCACATGCGGTTTGCGAAGGGTTATTATGCCCGTCCTCCACTTTAGAATGGTTATTACCGTTGGGGACCGGAGCGGCCAAAAAGTCTCCATCAACCGAGGTATGGGCAGAAGATTTTGTAGAACCTTCCACAGAAACCACTTTGGCTGGCTGCAGAGGACATGATGATAATTTTTGGCCATTCACCTACAATTGAACGTGTGCATTTGAAAGATAAAAGAATTAAGTTCCACAACTTATAAGACAAAAACACCGAAAGGCAAATGTACTCACCCTCTCCCGGTCGTACTCCATCTGCATCCCTATAGGTGTGACCATTCCAAGGACTGCATCTACTTTGATTACTTCCTGTGCGCTGAAAGGTAACAGAGAATACTTAGTATGTTTGCTGAGAAGTTGGGTAGCATTGGCAGAGTGGCTCTAGAAGAAAAAAAAACTGATTCAAAGTTCTTTCTTTGGAGATTTAGAAAGAGAATTAATTTGAGGAGCATACTTGTTGTGTGGAGGTACTGTAGCATGTCTGAGATGTCTGACTGCACTTCTACTGCTCCACTGATGGCTATTTTCTGATGTATGTCCACTTTGGTTACTGACTACGAAAGTGAAGATGAACAGAAACCGTAAGAAATTCAACTTACACGCAAGCGCTTACAACAGTTGTCCCTATCAATAAAGTTTTGTCCGGTCAAAAAATAAATATTTGACGTCACTTAAAACATCCCCAGGGTGCTTTTTTAATGGAACCAAAGGAAAATTAATTTCAACCTAAAACTGCTAAACAAGATTATTCATGGTTGAATGTTATGTAATCAGAAGGAATAAAAGAAACCACTTTGAAATAAATCTTTCTCCACTTAGCAATTCCATACATGTCACATGGTCACCTTGGGGGAGGTCAAACTAATTCGCGTCTGTGAAAATCCTAGAAACCTGAAGAACCCAAAATCTGAGGCAGACACTAAACTCAAGCCCCTCTAGCCTTGTGTGGCACGAAATGTTTCTGTTTTCTCTCTCTACAGACATGCTGAGTCATCACAGCCCCAACCCACCTACCCCTCCCAGCGTACCTGTACTTGATCCAGAGTACATAATGGAATAACTAGGTATTACTTCAGGTTCAGATAGGTCATAAGTTCCAACAGGAGTGGGTTTCATAGTTTTTCTTTCCTCTTGTGGTGTAGATCGTTTCTTCACACTCAAATCTCCATTGACAATTTCTAAATCAACTTGTTTCTCTTGGGCTGCACCCAAGTCTTTGATGTAATTATCATAGTCATGTAAGAGTTTTTTCTGTAGTAACTCGTGCTGCTCCTCTAATAATTTCTCCTCCTTTTTCTGATGTTCTAGAATTTCTTCCAATTGCATGGGAGTAGAATTTTTCGGTATGACATCCTTTTCTGAACAATTAACAGGAGGAGAAGTCTTCTCGTTATTACTATTCGTCTTGTCTTCACTGTTCATTCCTGCCTCCTCTATAGCTGGATAATTACTTCTGTCTCTCACGATACCAGAAGCTAATTTTACGGACGGTTCTTTAACAATGTCAGGAGTGTAATGTGCTGTCAAAGGAGACTTGGTTCTACTAAGATAAACACATAAGTGAAGTGTCTAGGGATGGTATTTCAATAAGGAAAGAGATCGACCTTGAGTGGGAAAATAATTGGCAATTGGCACAAGAAATAACTTGGTAATGTACATTTGACCCCTTGTCATAATAAGCTATATATTTCTAGAAAATAAAAATTCATAATTTGAAGACAGCTCACACCTTGAAGGAACAGGAGAGTCCCTTGGTGAAGACAGGGGTGAAATCATCGGTGAAGAGTATGGGGCTGAACTGCTGCTTGCTGGTCTGAGGATGAATGACTTGAGCATATCCGAATTTACCTTTGTCTGCAAATAAAAAAATGACCATAGATGTTCATTTTACACTTATTTTCAATCAAAGGGTAACTCTTACTTGAAAAAAGACTACGATGAAGAGCTAAACAATAACTTCCAATGACTTTGTAACTTTTCTTACCCTAAACTATTTGGTGCCCTGTCAAACAGGCAATGTGCAGTCAGAAAACATAAAGTACCAGTAGAATTAAAAAATTTCTATAATGAATTATAAATGTTCCAGTAATAGCTACCATGAACAAGACATGAAATTAGTTTACCTGGAGCTATCATCTCATTTATGGTATTTACTGACCAAAGAGTTAACAAACCTTATTATTCCTGAGCATGGGTGGTGCAGTACCGGGCCTTAACAAATATCCACCAGGCACATAACCATGTTCTAAATAAGAGCTATCACTTGGGTGTGGTCCGTAAGGAATGATATGAAGGCTTCTTGTAAGGGAATCCTGCAAATTCTTAAAAATTTAATTATCTGCTGTCAACATCCTGCTCTAACACATCATTTAATTTTTCAAATGTGCCAATAACTTGAACACTTTAGACCAAGATCTCAGGGCTATGTGAAAAAGGTTAAAGACAACAACTTAGCTACTGCCCCACAGAAATATAAATATATCTGTAAAGTGACAGACAAAAGTAATCTTTCCCTAACCTTACTCCCAAAGTCCCTATGATGTTTCAGTAGTTTTGAGCCTGATGAAGGTCTTTTAGGACCTTTCTGCTGTTGGGCCTCATTCCAAGTCACATATCTAGCTCCCATTCGGCTCTCAACTGAAGGTGCTGTTTTTGGTCTCAGATGTAGTTTAGGAATCTTGGTGAGTGCCTTCAGTTCTTCCTCCTCATCATCTTCATCCAAGCTGTCCTGACCATCAGAATTCCTGTCACTCTTCTCAGGGTTTGGAATTGGAACTTTCTGGTTTTAATTAAGACAAAAAAATTCAATAAAAATTCAGCTATAACTGAACATATGACCTGTACTCCATGAACCTTCCATTTCTTGTAAACAGCTACCACAACATTGGGAGTCAATACTTGTCCCTCTACCCTCTCCTTGAGCCAACCTTATCTCAAAAACTTATCTCTCCTCTGCTGTTGTCTGACAAAGAGCATAACTAACATTGATATATACTCGTGATGGAGTAGAGGGGATAGAGTGCAACTGCTTTTATTCTCTATCAACATATAATATAAAACATTTTCCACAAAAAAGTCAAAGAAATACATAAGATTTTAACATACAGGTGGTGATGTAATCAACTTCTTGTTTGCCTTGTACCACTTGTAAATCTTCAACAAATCCTCATGTTGCTTCTCAAAATACTTTGACCTACAAGTTTTAACAGTTAAAAACAGCAATGAACCCAGAGACTTTTCCGTTTTAACACTGTTTACGGGGTATCTATGTACTTCATCTGTACTTGAGCCAAAGCTAGCCTGTACAGCAAGCACTAAGTGATGGTAAGACACAATTTCAGCTCTATGTGTATCAAAAAGCTGGATACTCTCTCGCTCAGAGTTTCCTGTTGATAATCTGTAACCCAGAAATTAATTTGAGGAGGGAAAGAAAGCATAAGGGTTTAATGCATTTTCTGGCAGTGCAACATAATGAATCAGGACAAGGTTTCAATTCATGTAGAAAAATGAACACTGTAAATTATACAGAATAAAGGTTGTTAGAAGAGGGCAGAAGGGATTCTAGTTGGAGACACTACCATATTTGTTTTTAATAAATCCATATTTATGCTCTACGACCAAGCTACACAGCTCTCTTCTAAGATCAAATATGTACTAACACATCAAACTTACGTTGCCACCTCAGAGAGCATCTTCAACAACGTTCCATAAAAGGGTTTATCATATGGATCTCCTTCATCGTATAAATAGGGCCTGCAAGGGAATATTTAGGTAACATCAAAAATATCATGCAGATGTTGTAAGTTCAAATGGACTTCAGGGCGAGGTGATTTGAAACTAAGTTAATTTGTATTCATTAATCATTTCGTTCAGGAATTACAATAGTTTGTCTGGAACAAATTATCAGTTAAGTTTACACAAACTAACTGGCTTGGATAAATTGTCCATTCATAGGTATGTATACAACAACAATAACAACAGTAACAATACTTTATTTACCCACTCTACATCTAGGAGTAATAAAAACTCATTAAAACATGCATGGAACGAAAAACGTTAAAAAGAAAGAAATAGTTTAAAGTTACCATTCTTAAATCTAACTAAAAACTTGCTTCTTTAAAAGACATTTAAAAGTAAAAATATCCTTGACATTTCTAACATACATTGGTAACGAATTCCAAAGTTTTGCTGCCAAAAATGGAATGACTTATGTTCTAGATTGAAATTGGGTAACATTAAAAGTGTCCCCAACCCTCTTAAATTATAATTACAGATTTTAATCTTAAAAAAAATTATTCTATATACCTTAGAGTTTCTTTATGAATACATTTATATACCAAAACTATGGCCTGGAATTTTCTTCTAGCCTTTTTTCACTAGCCATATTTAATAAATGATTGTATGGTGTAAACTTTCCACACCCTAAAATATATCTAAGAATATAATTATTGGTGTCCTCTGGTTTTTCTACTAGACCTCTACCAACTCCAAGTAATAGCGACAATAATATTCTAAATGAGGCAAAATATATGCTTTATAAAGGTGGCACATTACATCTAAAGGTATACCTCAAATCCAAATCTTTAGCATCTCTCTTTCCTGTCAGAATTGCAATTTTTACATCTTTGTAGTACTTTTCAAGAGCTGTGGTCATTACACGAAACTCTGAATAGTTCATAAGCTGAAATTTTAACAAACAGTCAAGGTGATTAAAAAGAACATATAAAGCTCCACAAGAAGGGATGCAACTTGTACCTTTCCAATAACTTGAACACTTCTATCACACATACACAAAGTAACAAACAAGTGTTTTACATCCTACTCTCAAAACATTGTTTAATGTCAAAGTTCACAGAGCTGGTTTTTCTGACATAAACAGATCACCACTTCTTAAAGTCAACACACGTGTGTAGGAGGGTTTAGAGCAAAGAAGAACTAATTCTTCTTGAGTAATTACCTATAATCACCGCCTGAAAATTGTTTACTTCAACTAAAATAATTGTCTATTAAGAATAGTATAGATGCATATTGAATTCAGCACAATAAGTAAACTTCAATATACATGAAAAAGTTGAAAAGGAACTGAAATCAGATCTCATCTCGCACCGACTCATTAACTGTTGATAATTAGGACTAAAAAGTACAATACAAGTTTCCAACTTAACAAATGCAAACTTTGTATTCATATCTTTTTATGCTTTCCTTGCACGCTCATAAACCCGTTCGGTTTGCTACAAAAAGAGATTAATCCTTATGATTAAAACACAACGTTATCGTAATTCGATCAGAAAGTTGAGTTAAGTGTTTGACGAGTCACTCATTCTCAAATCAATCAAATAAGATCGTCAACAGCGGGCAATTGCGGTCGGTTAAGATCCCGTGGAGTTCACCTGTGTTGTCAACACAGACAACACAGCTATTGACTCCTATGAATATACCAGTCTGACCTTCTGTAAACGTCAACATCACTCAAGTTTATAAACTGGTTAAAAACTAGGCGAGTGTTAATTTCACCGCCTACGCAACATCTCGAGGGTGATAACAGTTAACTAGACGAGTTTAATTGAAATCAGTGAAATTGTTATCGATTCCTGAAAATGAATTTGTGAAATCACAGCCATGTCGTATCAAAATAGTTTTAGTTGAATAGAAGAGCATCCATGTTACCAGACGGAATGAATTCCAAGAACACGAAGTTTGTAATTCAAATGGATACATGTTCTATTTATCAGTGTTTAATGATGGCAAAGTATTTAAGCGTAACAAACCTTCGATCTTCTTAGAGTCCTTAGATCTCTCTCCATCTTCCCTAACAAACTCGCTGATGCCTCCTATTAGTGAATGATTAACTTTAAGTTGGTCATCTTGGATCGAACAACACACACCGCAGTCCTTTGCACATTTCCGTGAAGCGTGTACTAGTTTTCATTTACGGACCTGTTGCTACCGAGTTATTTCTCAACATGCTTGGCCAGTAAAGCGAATTCTGCATCCAGTATAGACTAAAGAGCGTGCGTGTTCTTTTTGTTTACTCCGCATACCATCAGATCAACCAAGCAACAAAATGTATCAGGGAAATTATTTCGTTTGTTTGCTAGGACCCACGGGCACGTCACGCATTCCTATGGAGTCCCTGTTGCTCAGTGCATTTGTTGTTCTTTTATGATAGGGCCTGCAATAACATCTGGTCAGCATCAAAGAGTGAGCTCTCGATGATTCGCGCGAAGAAATTTCTGTCTCGGAGCACGGAAAGATAAGAGCTGAATCGGAGTGAAATATTGGGGGAAATGAAAAAAGCTTAAGGCAAACTGCAGAAAATTTAACTCCCTGACGTTGTCTTTCAACCGTGTGAGCGCGAAAACGAAAAATAAAGAATTACAGGAAAAATGTGTCAAACCAAACTGTTCAGATTAGCTAACTGTCATTGCCGTTAACTTCGCGTGTCAACCTACTTTTGAACCAACACAGTTAAAAACTAAAAGCAGTTAAGTTCCCATTCGACCACCCTTACTTAGCAGACACTTTCTGGTGATCAAATTTTCATCAAAAGAAGGGTAACTTTAATTTCAGAATTTCTTTTCCATGGTTTGTCATCTATCGGTTTGAACATCACTGTCAAAACAGGAAGGAACTTTCTTGTTTTCATGCAACTATTCTCACGTTCAAATTTGTACATGCCACGTTTACATGCGAAATACGTTTTAAATCTGAAGCACTTTTTGAAATGTTAAATGAATCAATCGAAATAATTCAAACTTCTCTTCCAGAGGAGCAATCATAAATTTGCGCAATATAATAACAAAACCTGCTATTCCTTTTTGAAGATTTACATTAGAAAATGAAAAAAACACATACCTTACAATATCAGCTCTTTGTAGAAGAATCGTTGTTAGTATGTTTCTTATTCCTGTCTTACCTGAAGCCTTAACAAGCGCATAGCGTGTATATTTAAATTATGAGATCTACAACTCGCAGAATCGAATTCTTTCAACTGAAGAATGAGAAGTGAAGACAACTTCTCAGTGATGAAGTTTCATAACTAATAATGCTTCAAATGAAATGCAAATACAAGCGAAACGTGACTTGACTGTGTCAACGCTTTTATTAATATTGATCAGTTGATAACTTTTTTCGCACAAAACAACGGATTTCACTTGTACTATGAAAAGTAACGAATTCGAAACAGTATTTCTAGGTTTGAATATTTACACGTGCAAACTTTGGTGGACTATACTGCTCCTGGCCAAATTTCGACTTTCGAAATGTCTTTTTTGTTGAGTATATTTAGACAAAACAGATGCTTTCTACACTTCTCTCACTTATCCCAACAGGAAATACAAGAACCCTAATCATTTACCATTCAAGAAGACTTGGGGAGTTGTTCTTAATTATCCGGCTATACAACCATCCTATAGGTCTCATTCTTTCGATTGGGTTTTTGACGACCTACACGTTTTTTTTCCATAATCTCAACCAATCAAGATCAAGAAAACGACAAGAATAATTAAGAGACTTTCCTTGTTTCATTGCAGAGTACCACAAGGTTTGATTAATAACATGAGTATGATCTCAAGGTTTTTTTTAGGGCGCCCACATATTAGCAATCGGTATCAAAGCAATTAACAGCACGAAATCAAATAAAAACAAATTATTAAATTCCGGCTAATTAACATTGACTGATGATTCTATTGGTTTTTCCTGTTCTCATCCATAACCTAATTTTCACTTCTTTTTTCTTCCTCGTCTCCTTGGTTGTCTTGAACCAGCAGTGGTGAACGTGATGCACTGAAATACAACCATTTCTAAAGTAACAAACAGGAAACAGGATAGAAAAAACCCACAGAAAGAATCTCATCATTAGACTTATTGTAAAAGCGACATAAGTATCACACATCAATCCCACTCCTACTAACTATATTTCTTAACTCCGTGAAAAGTGAGCCATAAAATTTGACAAAAATTTCCCCATCACATTCAAAGGTAACAAGTTTGTTTTGCATGCTTCTCACTGGTTTATATTGCAAATCAAAAGTTTATAGATCTCAAATACATACAATCCTCAGCTCTTCTACAAAGAAAATCAGAGGCAAACTATTACGAATATTCTCACCTGCTGGTCGAGGAAATCCACAAGTTTTCCCAAAGAACAACTGATGCCGTCAGATTTAATTTGTTGATGCAGTGAAGCTAACTCTAGTGGCTGTGAGGAAACAGACAAGTACCACATGAAATATGCGCGTGGTGAGACCAGTTCTCTTTTCCGCTCTTTTCAAAACTTAGGAAAGATGCGTCCCTAATTCTCCCTCCGCGCTCGAAAAATAACGCGCAGGAGAACCAGAAGATGATATAAATATATATATATCAACAACTGAGAGTGAGAATAACATTATTCACTCGTAACATATCTAACTTAAGGCTTATTAAGATTTGAACAACTCTCCCTTTAGAGATCTCTGTGCTTTACCTGAAACTGTAAGACTTTTTGGTAGAGCTCTTTGTTATCACGGATATAACAAGCCAGCTTCTCTCTCAGATCTCCTCCGTTGATCTTTTAGGAAAGGGAAAAAATTGGAAATGTTGGAAACACTGACATAATCATCTCTATGTTTTAACAAAATATAGCTTCATTTCCTTCAAACTTATAAACTTTCCATTCCGCGATATCTTTAGTTATAATCAGTTGTAAGATATTCTTGTTAATCAAGGGCGTTTTATTCCAATTGGGTTATCAAGCATCACAACTTCAACTTTTCGAGAAGATTTGTACCTGCTGAGATGCTGTTATGACGTCATCTTCAATCAGAGTAGTGCAGTCTCCAAATTCTGTATCCTCCTGATCACTGAACAAACAAACACAAAATGAAAGATTATACAGTGCGGCTGGAGAAAAATTAAAAGACAAAAAAAAAGTATTAACTAATTCCCTAAGACAATAGGCCATATCCCAGAGGAACATTAACAAAGCATCTGCTTCAACGCGCAGGTAAGTGCAGCGCTTTCAAGTTGATAAGAAGACATTATTTAACCCTTATGCAAATAAAACTAATTTCACAAAAAAGGCTTTGCGTTTAGCCCGATTTTGAAAGTGAGGTTGTTCAGCACTTGAAATGGATTAAAGTCCCACAATAAAAAATTACCGGGAGCAAGGAAGTGAACACACGTTAAGCCATTTATGGCAGTCGAGTTCCACACAGTACATTACTAGCGGGACTGATTGGGAATGATGTGGGAATGTTAAGTATTCTGGATGACGTTAAACTCTGTACGCTACACGGGAGTAAGAAAAAATATTTATCTTCACTGACGGTAGAAATACACAAACGTTCTCACCTGTTATCACTGCTTGCATTTCCACTTTCTTCAACTCCATCAATAGGAAGCGATGTTTTACTCCCCTGTGTATGTGGTTCATCTTTCAAAGAGAAGGGAACGTACTAAAACGGATATACCTTTTACAAGGGTCACGTTATTATTAAAATTGAGCAACTATTGTTAACTGTAGAGAATGTTGCCTTACTTGGATGTGTGTAATCATAGATCTCTTTAAGCTTCAAGATCATTTTTTTCTTCGGGAGAGCACGAACACCAAACTTATACAGCTCATTCTACAAAAAAATATAAGCAAAAACATAAGTAGTTACTTTTCTTTGTTAAAATAATCTGAGAGTCTAAGCTTACTAGAGCCAGTGACAACATCACTGCGCACTCGTGAAGCACATATTGAACATGATCCTAAACCTGTGTTGGATATGAGCCAGTCTAAATTATTATATCTCTTAATAGTAATGAATTTGTTTAAGTTGTTACCTTTAATACTGGGGTGGCCATCTCGATGTAGTTCGGCATGGGTGTTACTGGTTGTTTCGCCTTCTGTTCTACCTGCTTGTTTGACTTAATGTGAGACTTTTTCCTACGCTTTGACGGAGTTTCATCATCTTCATTGTTGCTATCACTGTCTCGGACTCTTCCTTGACTTGAAGGAACTTTCCTCTTGCCTTTACTCGTCATTGAAGCATCCACTTGCACCGACAGATTGTGTTCCTTTACATCTTTATCACAATGGCACTTTTCCCTTGCTTTTACATCGCTATCAACATTTAAGACCTCGAGTTTGTTTACTTCATCAATGTCAACATTGAAGCCCCCATCGTCATAGGAATCAAACTCGTCACCAAGTGAAACGCTTTCTGTTTGCTGCTCCTCTTTAGCCGAGGAGTTCTTTTCTTGCTCCTCACCGCTTTTGTCTTCATTTCTGGTATAACTATCAACTCTGTCTGTATCGCTGTCACCTTCATCAGCATCGCTAATAAAGAACATTTTAGTTCCACCAACACGTGCGGCCTTTAGTCTCTCTTTCAATGGCACGTCAAGATCAATCTTCACCACTTCTGTCTTTCGTGGCTTTTCCTTGTCATCTGAATTCTGTTCGAACTCCAGTTTTTTCACAGAGTGGTTCCTCTCATTCTCTAATTGTCGACTGGACGCATGATGCGAGCTAAATGAACAAACGGAAGGCGACACTGGAGATTGTGATTGTGGACTAGAACCCATTCCTCTTGTGGCTGTTGATGACTTCCAATCAACTGGAAGACTGGGCGAGTCAAGATCAGGTGATAAAGCGATCTGTTGTGATGGAGGAGAAGTGCAAGGTACTGGGGAGTCTGGAGACGAAACAGCATCAAAGAAATAATAGCTCGGCGAGGGGACTGGCTGCGACATAATGTTGCCAGGAGAAGATGAAGTTGACAGAGGAAAGTCTCGATAAATGCCATCATCTGACTCATCTCCGTTAAATTCTATGTTTTCACCATTGATAGGTCCTCTGGATTCGAATTCTTTTTCCCCTGAAATTTCCTTTCTCTCTGAAGGACATGTCAATTTATCTTTTGCTTTCTTGCAAGTTTCAGAAGTCTGCACTACGTCATCGTCTATAAATGGGGAAACAGAAGGAGAATTTCCAACCTCGACCCCTTCTGAAACATACTCTTCGTTGAGGTTTCCAGGCGAGCAACTACTGTTCTCAGAGCCTTTGAGGGATTTTGAACCCCTAGGGGGAGTTCGCACTGGGGAAACACTAGCGGACATGGTACCCCACAAGGTCACTCGTGTTGGTGAGACATTGTAAGTCTCTACATTTCCTGATAATGAAGTCGGTTCACCTAGGTTGTCTCGTTTCCCAAGAGACTTCTCTGTGGTCGTTAAACGATTGGCTGATATTTTTACCGAAGATTTATTAGTCACACCATTACGTCTTGACTTTTCTTTCACTTGCTTATTTCCTATACTACGTTCTGCACGCTGTCTTAGTTTGGACAGAAATTGGTTTGCTTCCTCGCTCAATTGTCTACGTGATTTGGACGGAGAGGAACCAGTTACAATGACATCGTTTTCTTCACTGACAGAGGTTGTTGATAGGAATTTTGTTGAGGTGCTTCCCCATCCATGAGGTGTCTCTGGGACGATAGTCACATCAGTTTTTCGAGGAGACACATCGAGGACCTAGAAATTACATTATGCACAAATACGAACTGAACAAATTTGTCATAAATACTGCCAAGAAATGAAATATCATAAAATCAGGGGGCAATCTACTGTCGAACAAATCTTTTTGAAGGATATAAAAATCTAACCACTACTCATTTCTGGTACTCAGCCACTGCAAAGAAAGCTTCTATTTTACTGACTAGAAAAAAAAGTCAGAAGAGGAACAAAGTGCTTACGTGTTCGTTCCACTGCATTAAATGTGTATTCTTCGACTCTGACACGACTCTGACGGAAACGAATTGCTCTCGAAGATGAGTATGCATCACTTGTTCGTTACTTTCTTGCGATGACTGTTCCTAACGACACTACTCTAAGTTCTAGAATTGAAATAACACACCACAACAAACCTCTTCCTCATTGTCGCTGATCAGTGTGATCGATTCATTTGCAGCCATTTCCACAGTGTCGTCCTCACTTTCCTCATTGTCTGACA